ACACTGAGAATGTGGTATTTAAGAAAACATTTGAAAGAAGGGAGGGATTTAGCCCAGGTGACAACTCTTCTTTAGAAAAGCCTTCCAGGCAGACAGAAAGCTATAGTTAAGGTGGCAAAATGCCTTATGTTTTCAAGGGACATCAAGGGGACCAGCTTGGTGCTTGTAGATTGAGGAAAGAGGAGGGTAACCAGTGATGGGATTAGACACATAGCTTTGATTTTGGTGTGGTATCAATCATGTAGAATCTTGTTTGCAATTGTTAAGGTAATAACATCGCAGGGTTTTGAGAAAAGCGGTGTGATCAAATATGCATTTCAAGGTATAACCCTATTGCTGTTTTGTGAATAAATTGTATGGTTGCACATACAGAAGAAGGAAACTGATTAGGAGGCTGTTTCAAGAATTGACAGGAAGAATAATGTTCACTCAAAATAGAGTAGTATCATGAACATGGTGAGGCTGATAAAGTGCTAAATGTATTATTATGAAGAAAGCCAACAGAGTTTCCAGTGGTTTGGATGTTAGGTGTGAGTGAAAGAGGGATATTTAAGAGGACTCCAGGTTTTCTTGGCAAGTGGCATAGAAGGATGCTACTTCTATTTTGGGGGTTCCATTGTGAACCCCCAAAATTTGAGGCAAGTCTGAGTTTATTTTGCCAAGGTTGAAGATGCACACCCATGACACAGCCTCAGAGTCCTGGCAATATATCCCCAAGGTGGTTTGGCCACAGCTTGGTTTTATACATTTTAGGGGGATATGAGACATCAATCAACATATGTAAGAAGTACACTGGTTCCGTCCAGAGAGGTGGGGACAATTTGAAGCAGGGAAGGAGTCTTCCAGGTCACAGGTAGGTGAGAGAAAAATGGCTGTATTCTTTTGAGTTTCTGATAAGCCTTTCTCAAAGGAGGCAATCAGAACATGCATCTTTCTCAGTGAGTAGAGGGATGACTTTGATTAGTCATGGAGGCAGATTTGCCCTGAGCAGTTCCCAGCTTGAATTTTCCCTTTAGCTTAGTGATTTTGGGGGCCCAATATGTATACATTTTTCGCATCATTCAACTGAGGTAGAGTACTTATAAGTGAATCAGTTTAAGACCAAGACTTTGTCCTAAAAGGCTCACATTCAGAAGAAGGAAATGATAAGGATAATAAAACAATTGATATCATTAACTAACTGAACTAGTGTCTACGTATTTTTTTATAGCTGTTTCATGGGAAAGCAGAGGAAAAAATGTCATTTCAATTTGTGATCATTTCAATGGGGGGCAATTGATCAATACATTGAAGAATGAATAGGATGAGAAAAAACCGAGAGGAAAGGATTACTAGTGAAAAAATTCATCATGAGCAATAGCAATGCAGAAGTTAATGCTAAGGGCTTGGGGAATGGACATGGTTTGTTCTCACTAGAGTAGAAGCTGTGTGATGATGATGGCTGGTAAAGATATGGAATACAGAGAAGGGACTGTAGGAAAAAGAATCAAAGTAAAGAACACAATATTCACTATACTGATGAGCTTTGCACTTATCCAACAGATTTGGGGGAAGTGGAAGGTGGTATTTTTAAACAGTAATGTAAAAATCCGTAGGTGGAAAGTAGGCCAGTAATTTGTTTGTTCCTTTTTTTTCTGTTCATTGTCCAAAAGCAGTTAAGCATATTATAAATAAATCACAAAAATATATATGCAGTGGCCAGGCGTGTGGCTCACACCTGTAGTCCCAGCACTTTGGGAGGCTGAGGCTGTGGTATCACAAGGTCAGGAGTTCGAGACCAGCCTGGCCAATATGGTGAATTCCCATCTCTACTAAAAATACAAAAATTTAGCCACACGAAGTGGTGCATGCCTGAAATCCTAGCTACTTGGGAGGCTGAGGCAGAAGAATCACTTGGATCTGGGAGGTGGAGGTTGCAGTGAGCCAAGATCATGCCACTGCACTCCAGGCTGGGCAACAGAGTGAGTCTCTCTCTCTCTCTCTCTCTCTCTCTACATACACACACACACACACACACACACACACACACACACACACACACACACACGTAGGCTCA